AACCCAAATCAAATCCTAACCTTCCCAACTCAACCTGAGTCAACCTAAATCAAATCCTAACCTACCTAAGTCAACCTAAGTAAACCCAAATCAAACCCTAGCCTACCTAAGTCGACCTAGTTTAAACCTGAACTACCCTAAATCAGCCCAAGTCTAATCTTAGGCTATAGTTATGTTATTTCATGCATGTCTCCATGTTTTATTGTATTATTACATGTTCTATTACGTTGTTACATGTCTTTCATGTTTTATTGCATGCTTTCTTATGTTTTTCATATTTAAAAACAAACAAAAACAAAAAACAAAAAAAAAAAGTAGAATAAAAATAAAACAAAAACAAAAGATGAAATCCCCCTTCCAAGTAGTTTTCTTCGCAGACAAAAATATGAAAATAAATAATAATAATAATAATAATAATAATAACAAACTTTAGAACTTAGAAAACTTTGATTATCCACCGAAAAAATCTTGAATTGAAAAAAAAAATAATTAATTAAATATTGAATTTCAAATTATAATTAAAATATATCAAGATAAAGAATTGAAACATAACCTAAGTTAGTTAACGTAGCCACCATAACCCAGGGTCATACACTCACCACTTGTTAGTCGGAGTTAATATTTTGATATTGCACCCAAACTTTAAATGAATAATAATAATAATAATAATAAGGATGGGACAAAGACTTCTATGCGGCTATTCCAATATCCAGATTATTGGCCGCATAGACAGATTCAAGAAACATCTCCTTCAAATATAACTAGATTATTCCAAGATAAAGATGCTTCTAACAACCACCACAAAAATTAACAAAATAATAATATCTTAATTAATTTTTAATAGGATAATTTTAAATTTTATTAATATTGTTTTAATAAAAGGAAACATAAAATAAATTTTAATTATTTACTGATATATTGTATGCATCTTAAAAGAAATTTAATAATTTGAAAAATGATAGCAACCAAAATTTAATTACAATACCCAAAAGCCCAAACTTTTCAAAATATAAATAATAAATAAATAAATAATAAAGACATTATGATCAAGTCTTCCACAATCATATACTAAAAAAAAAGTTCATAATTTACAATATAATAATAATAATAAATATAACAGTTTGTCACATTTTTTTAATATTTTTTTATTTTTTATTTCTTCAACAGAGAATGGGCTCTTCAACTCAAATCTCCGCGAATTTATCTCTTCATTTCTCTTCGATTCTAATGCACAGCAAATCTTAGGAAAAACAATTCAATAGATCGTTCGTACGTGAGTTACACATGGACGACGAACGTGATATACCGACGAAAAAAAACATGCGAATAAAAAAAAAAAATCTCGTCGGTGTATCTCGTCCGTTCTCTGTACGTAGCTCTCGTACGGACAAAGTACCCAAAATTTTCTGATACCTTAGAGCCAAATTTCATTATTATTGTTGAATCCTCATCCCTTGGTGAATCACACCCAAAGATGAGAGAGTGATAGAGATTAATGGGTCTTCCCGGGTCTCGCGTGCACCTTATTACTTTATTCTGACTCTCTTCTACATGAAATGATCTCTCTTTTTATATGTGATTGAGCACGATCTAGTGCTATTAAATTTTGACCCTGTTTTAATGAGGACATTGCATGAAATTATTGGTATTTTACAAGTGTGATATATCCGGTCAGCTTTGTAGGCCTTAGTTCGTCTAAATGTATTTGGTCGGTTTTGTGAGCTTTGGTTCATATGAATGTATCTGGTCGGGTTTGTAGGCATTGGTTTGTTTGAATGTATATGGCCAGCTTTGTGAGTCTTAGTTCATCTGAATGTATTTTTATTGGTTTTGTGAGCCTCCGGGCCTTCTATTGGTAGATCTTTCTTTATTGCTCTTGTCTCCTCTAGACTAAAGATTTTTTCAGGATCAATGTGGCCATATTTTTTATATACATACTTGCTTTCTTGATTCTCTTACTTTTGGAAGTGAAGCTGTGATTAGAATAAGAGAATTTTAATGCAAAAAATTTTAATCATATTTAACGACATAATAATTGAACTATCTCAATTTTCATGACATTTTTACTCTGTTTCGTTGGTTCTGAAGTGCTCTTCTAAGCCCTTCAGGACGACATGACCGGTTGAATAACCCTATTCAATCGGTATTGTGGGTTGGCTGAGCATGATTGACTTTGATTTTATCTCTAGCTTGAAGAAATTTTCTTTTTTCTTTTTTGAGCATTTGCATAGAAATGTACTATAGAAAATCCTTTGTAACTTTATAGGTATGAAATAAAGTGAAGTTGTCGGTCTGTTCTCACCTTTGCTTTTTGCATTTTATCTCTACAATGTATTTTTTTTCTCATGATATATGCTCGGTTTGTGATGATTGATGAGCCAACTTTTCTAGGAATGCTTTTGGTCATTTTTGTTGAGTTACCGTCTGATTCGGGTCTTGCACTTTCTATGTCTCGTTAACTTAGAAGGTCGTCTCCATGCACGAGCCACACTTTTTGTCAGACGTACTAAGTGGATCTTGTCGCATTCATCGCAGGGATAACCATCAAGACTTGCTGTTAAGAGTGTTCATACACTACCCGTTGCAGAACTTGTCGCTCACGGTTAATGAATAGCCGTCAGAGCTTGACCATTTCCAATTTAAGAGACATGTGTTTTTACGATGTGTGAACATTGAGGGCTGAATCATGTTAATTTTGTTGATGAGAAAATATTTCATCGTTGTTGGACATTTAAGCAAATTGAACCGATCAAACATTTTATTGTCGCTATTAGTTTTGTTTGTTTGAATGAACTAATGCTAATGAGTCAGCCTGAATTATCTGAGTGTTAATTGGATTCAAAATTAACTTTTACAAGAACTGTCCAAGTTTTCGAGTGTAGGTCGTACTTGGGATTGTGCACATAATTAGAAAAAATTAACATTTTCATGAACTTAAAAATAGAATACAATATTTGGAATGATAGCACGTTCTTATTGTTGAGTTGGACGCCAGTCATGTATCGATTCAGATTCCCTCGATGGTAGGCTCTATGGATTGCTGGATCATCCAAGTATCTCTGCGAGTCTTTGTGGCGAGCTTGTGTTGAGTGGAAAATATCATGCCTCAGTTCCCACCTTTCTTCATGTGCGGTTCTGTTAGGTGGATGGTGGTTGCCTCACTTGGCTAGTTCTGACATCTTAGCTAGTGTCTTCGTTCGTTACAAGCCTATCATGTATCGAAACAATCATTCCTTTAGCCCTTGAGCCAAGACGACATGTGATTATGCAAATTTTAGGTCCTGCACTTCCAACAACACCTTCTCGAAACATGTGATGAACAGGCAGAAGCTATAGCCTTATTCCTATTGGATCTGCAGGAAGGCCTGCAAACTTTTTCAGGGCTTTCAAGCACCGTCAAATTACACCAAAAATATTCATTTGAAGTCAACGAACATGAGATCACTCAGTGGTAAGGTGTTGGACCACAAGAGGGCTGCCCCTTACAGTGGCGAAGAGAAGACGACACTTCAGTGCATCATTGATCCTTAGCAGACATAACATCGACTCGAATGAGGTTATGTGGTCGACCATATCAGTTGTGTCTTTATATGACTCTATTGTCCAGATCTTAAACCTCTCTAGTGGCTTGGTTTCAGAGATTTGCCGAGAGAGCACATTCTCTAGCTGTTGGAGTGTCTCGGTGAGCTCGAGTTAATGTCTATCGATTGGCGTCGACCCAACACTATCGAAGTATTGATGTTGGTCGATCAGCGTTGGCCCTTCCTCTTGCAGGTACTTATCTATTCCCAGAGCCAACACGTGTCAGATGGCATCTGACACATGATCCTTCGACTCATGGATATGTTGGTTCACAAACTCTTAGGTCCACTCCATCTTGTCGATGTCTTTGTGGGTTTCTTCCCTGTAGACTGCTTCTCTTATTGGCTGTGACATAATCCACGCTCACCACATTATTTAGGATGTTGAATCAGGAATTTTTCTTGGATCACACACAATAAAGAAAGCATCAAACGAGAGAGGAGGGAGGGAGGGAGGGAAGGAGGGAGAGAGAGAGAGGTATAAAGTAACTTGCCCTCTAGGGCTAATGGGGTCTTCCTGGTTTGAAAATCTTTTTATTTTATCCATTCCTTTTTTTTCTACATGAAATGATCTCTCTATTTATATAGAATTGAGTACTGTCTAGTAATATTAGATTTTTTACCAAACTTTAATGAGGGCAATAAGGGATATTCTTGTATTTTGCAAGTGTGATGCATCCAATCAGCTTTACAGGCCTTGTGCGTTTGAATGTATCAGAATGGTTCGTAAGCCTTGGTCCAACAAAATGTATCAGTGCCGCTTTGTAGTTCTTAATTCGTGTGAATGCATTCGATCAATTTTGTGAGTCGTGGTTTATTTGAATGTATCTGATCAGATTTGTGAGCCCCCGGGCCTTCAGTTTGAAGACCTTTCTTTATCGTTCTCATCTTTTCTAAACTGTCAGATCTTTTTAGGATTAGCGTGACCATATTTTTTATATTGCTTGAGTTGACTGCAACTTTAATAAAATATTATAAAATTATGATAGAATAAACTTCTTAAAAAATTTTGGTGAGAATTATAAATAAATATTTTTTTATAAAAAAATAAGACATCAACTTTAATACGGTCACAACATTTCAGATTGAAAAAAACTTCCCTAACACAAAAATTTTTAGAAAATAGTTCAAAAAAAGGACTGCGATAACCATCTAAAAGCAAGCCCATTCAACTTCACCAAATCAAATGATTCTTAGATTTCAAGCAAGATTCTCTTCTTAATTCACTTCTAAGTTTCAAGTAAGAATTGTTTGTCACACTAATCACAGAAACAACAGTTCAAAAGCACAGATTCTCTTCTTAAAGAATTGTATAGAATAATAAAAGTTTTCCTTCAAAAAAAAAAAAAAACAAACAAACAAACTTTTTTCATAGTATCAAGTCCACTGGAAAGTTCATAGCACTGAAAAATCCATACATTGCTGCAATTGCCTTTTAATTCATGTTCAGAACAAAAAAGGATGATCGCCTGATCATTCCCTAAATACAAAAATTATGATTATTTTGATCAATAGCTAAACCCACCCATAAGTCTCTCCAGTTAAGAAGAGAACTGAAGTCAAAGGGGAACTCACCACAACACAGAAAAACATCACCTTTGAACCTATACTATAAACTATACACCCTAATCTCACCTGAGAGCATTGATGAAACTGAGCAGAGAATCGACGTCCCGCCGCTCCGATGGATACTTAATCGGCCTTGAGGTGTGTTTGGGGAAGAAGAGAATGGTGGGGAAGCTCCCTAGCTGAAGCTCCTCCTTGGCGAAAGGCTTTTGATCCCCATCGGCGCGGAATTTCCCCACCTTGACTCCGGTACCATGGAGTTTCTCAGCGAGTTCAACATATGAGGATTCCATGGCCTGGCAGAACTGGCACCAGGGGGCGTAGAGAACAACCAGCCATGGCTCCTTCCTGTTCTCCAGCTTCAGCAGATTCTCAATTCCAGTCCTTGTGAGGCCAACAATGGCTCTGGTGTTGAAAATATCTGCACTATGGCTCACACCATTGACAGCCACAGTTCCCTTTCCATTGCCAACATCATGAGTGATGTTGGCTTTGTGAAGGCCACATTCCTTCGCCTTCGCGTCCTCCCACCACCATCTTCCTTCTCTTTCGTGCTGGCCAGGCAAAACGGGTCTAGTGCAGGGCTCACAGCCGATGGATACATAGCCCTGTAATTGTGTAGGAGGAAGAAGATGAGTATGGTGCCATTAATAATTTAGTTGCTTCAGAGAGTTTCTTGGTTTTCAAATACCTGAGAATGGAGGGGGTTTACAGGAACATCCATGGTTCTAAGGAAGTTCCAGATATCTTTGCCTTCCACATTCGCAACTGGGTTCCACTTTATTAAGCTGCCTGCACCTCCATCCAAGCCTTCAAAAGAAAGATCAACCTGAAAACCACCATTAAACACCATTCATAAACTCAAGTTAACATCTTTATTAGAACCACCATAAAAAGTTAACAGCTTTTATATAAATCTGAACATATATCAGTCATGGAAGAACAAGAAGAACCTGAACAACAGGTATATTAGCTCTGGTGCCAGGTGATTGATCTTTTCTCTGCCCAGTAATCCATGCTCTGAAACCTTTAAGAGCTCTCCTCAAAGGTCTCACCTTTCTCACCCTGCAACACTCCTGGTGCCCATCCTCGTAGAAAGAGAACAATCCTTTGCTCCTCACGAGAGCCTGAACTTCAATGGCGTCGGGGAACATGTATTCTATGCGAATGCCGTAGTGTTTCTCGACGGCATCGAAGAACTGGTACGTCTCCGGATTCAGCCGACCGGTGTCGAGGCTGAAAACCCGAAAGGGCCGGCCGGTGAGACGAGCATATTCTATCAAAGCCACATCCTCTGCACCACTGCAGAATAAGAAAGAAATGGGAGCTTTACATTGAGAACCAAGCAGTGCTTCTGAATTCAATTCATAACTTCATAAAACAGAAGTGAATGATGATTTTGATGATTACGCAGAATATATAAGATGGTGGAATCTAGGATTTTTCGCTTTAATAAAACTTAAATCGAATGATTGAGCAGCATAGCTCATAAAAATTGCAGTTTTAATCAATGTTTTTGATATATTTTTTTTAATTAAAAGTGGGTGGCAATATTTTTTTTAATTAATGCGTGTAAATATGGAAGTTTTGTGTGAGATACGTAAATGCTAAAAAAAAAACAGAAATTGATAGGAGCATCATAACTAATGACCTCCCCGGTCTTCCTCTAGTAAAAATCCGTCAACCAGAAACTATGTGAGATTAAAACAATAATAAAGACAGTAAATTTCTAATTTACTGAATAAAATAGAATTTAAAAAATCCTCAGATTCGAGAATCCAAGACCATATTCAACCAAGCCCAAATTTCCCAATTCACACCAAGACTAAACATTCAAACTTCGAGCACAAAAATAGAAATCGGAAACAAACCTAAAGGCAATCGCGATATCATTCCCAAACATCTGGAGAGCTCTGTCCATGATAGCTAGCGGCGAAGCATGCTCCATCTCCTTCGCAAGCTCCTCATAGTTAACCTCTCCGATCACCTTCTCCACCACCGCCGGCGCATCAGTCACAGTTGCTGCCACAGATTCCCTCTTTCTCGGAGGTCCCGCCGCAAGCACCGGCGGCGCAGCCCACCTTCTCCGGCCAATCCTCGCATCTGCAGGCGCCGCAACTATCTCAAACAGCTTCACAGTCCCAATCTGCCGCCCTGCTCAAAATCACAAATTACTCAGAGATTACAGCAATCGTGGAGAATAAAAGAAGCAATTTTTACGAAATCAGCATACCTCTGCGCTCGCTGTGGACGATAGTTGGTGAAGAGATTGCAGAAGCGGAGGCCATTGAAGACGAATTCGGGTTCAAAAGCGAGCTCCTCCGGTTTTGATTTAAGAGATTCTCTGCTTTAAAAATGCGATCTTTCTTTTCTGAGAGTTTTCGGAGATCAATCGAGAGGGATAAATAAGAGGAGGAGAAAGGGGGATCGTTTCGCGAATAGATGTATGTAGACGGGATTGTGTCCGAAAAGAGGTTTCTGACGTGGTATGTTTTGATTGGATTGAGAAAACAAGCTGGCGCCGCTTGCCTCGCTCCAGGGGGAGATGAGTGCGTCAGGGATCTCGCACTCTTAAGCTGGGGGAGGTCCTATAACTGTTAGTTTACATTTCTACCCCTTTAAAAATCATGTTTTTACATCTAAAAAATTATTCTCGCAGGGAATTTGAACTTTGCTTCTTTAATTGGAATAATTTATGCGGTCAAATTTATCATTCTTGACTGCCGAAAAATCAAATTATTATTGATTAATTCTTTAAAGTTATTTCATTATATCTTGAAAAGGCTTTGGATATACGCAGCATTTATGTTAATAAATGTGATTTCTACGTTGGAAGAGGAAGACGATCAAATCGTGAAGGAAATGGGAAGAAATGAACTCTTCGTCAATGTTATATACCTTGCAATTATGCTTCCAATCAATACCCTATAATTATCATTAAAGAAAAAAAAAACATTATTTGTACATATAAATAATTGAGAAATTCAATTATTTAACAATTATGGAATTAATCAATCAACAATTATTACTTTGGAGCAATTGCTTACATGGCCAAATTCAAATTTTTACAGGAGGGCAATTGACATTTTGACCCTCCTGAAATAGCACCTTCTGAATATTATTTTGTTATTCGTTACCCTAACCTCTAGACGTAAAGGGAGCTGCTTTCCCCTTCTAAGACGAGGGGGCCTTTTCAGTCATTTGGTGTCAGCCCTTCGCCTTAGGTGTGTTGATCTATTTCCTGAATTAGTGTGTCTTGGTTGACATCCAATATATGATACAAACTATAGTATCTGTCGGGTCACAAATTTTCTGGTGCCCCCATGTTGTAACTGTCTATGTTATGAGTTTCTTCTTTTTAGACTACACTTTTTTTAATTTGCGACATGATCTACGCTCACCACACATTTCAAAAACATTAAATCATGCTTTGTTAAGTGAATCACTCCTAATGAATTTAGTGTAAGGAGAGATGGAGAGAGAGACATAATGAACAATATTGTGTAATGTTTTATTCATAAAATGATTCCCTTATTTATAGATGAGAGAGTACAATGATAATATTACATTTTAATATTTGCTTTAAATGGGTATGTATTGGGATATTTTAATATTTTACATGTGTAAGTCTGTCTTCCGAGTACTTTCTGACTTGGCCGCCTGATCTTAGTCAGCTTCGGGTTGGTAAGATTAGCTCGGTCGACAACGCTTGGTCAGTATTGGACAGTCGGTTGATACAATCTATCGATTCTTAGTCCGCGATGTGAAATTTCTGGGGCGTCCCTCAAATGGTTATATATACAGTGAAGCCGGATATTCCCATGGATCGACTCTACTGTAGAATATGCTTATTGTATTCCATCGATTTTCGTGAATTGGATGTTCGTTCATCTAGCATCTTGCTGAATGACTCAAGCTTAAGTTATCCATTTTTTTTTTTTTTTGGTCCGCCTCGTGGCTCTATCGATTTTGGCCTTACTGGCTTGGCTCGTACAGTTTAAACTCGGTTGGAGAAGTGAGGCTCATGATCTTTAGGCGGCAAGATAGCCTTCGCCTCTTTCCTTCTGAACCCTTAAATCTCTCTAAGATCCATGCAGATAAATTTTTTATGTATAGTATTAAAAACAAAACTTCAATTTTTACACTATATATACATGAAAAGATATAATTCATTTTTTTGAAGCTAAAATAGTGATATTTTTTAATGTAATATGGAAGTTTTGGGTGATATAAATGTAAAAAAATTAAAATTTTGGTGTTAGATACACGATATGTATGTAAATGCCCCTTCTTTTAATTGAGTTTCAGATGAGTGAAGTATATGATTAATATATTAAAATTGATATTTCACTAATCTTAAAGCCAAATCAATGGCCATGAAATTAATCAAGATTAAATAAAAGAAAAATATCTTTTGTGGCTATTTTGGATCAAAGGGTGGCGGGTCAGTATGAATTATTATGCAATTGGTCATGACGATTATGTTAATTGCAAATTATTTATTATGAGATTAATTACGTCGAAGATCCCAATTTGATGATATATATATATATTGAAAGTTTCAAGCTTTAATGTTAATTATGCTCCAAAATTGATGATAAAATTTATGTGAGTAGACCCTAGCTCTAAATATACAGCCCATTTAATCTTCAAGACAACCCTACTAATCTAAATTTTTGCACAAAAATATATCAACTTATAATCTATTTCAACCATGTTAATTAAAAAAATGCATTGACAATCAAATTTATTAATATCTTAATTTGTTTCAGGCTTACAACAACAACAACAAAACATTTATCCCATTAAGTGAGGTCGGCTACATGAAGCATTTTTTCTCTATTGGGTCCTAATTTGTGTCATATTTTCATCTAATTCTAATAAATTAAGATATTTTTTTCATACAGTATGCCCAAGTTTTTTCTGGTCCACCTTTGTCTTTCTTAATAAAAGTCGAATCTAAAACATCTACTCTCTTAATTGGATCATCAGATGGTCGACATTTAATGTGACAAAACCATCCAATACGACTCTCTAATTTTGTCTGTCACTGGAGCTACACTAACCCTATCACGGATAAATTCATTCCGCATTTTGTCTCTAAATGTAAAGCCACTCATCCGCCTAATCATTCTCATCTCAGCAACACTTAACTTAGTATTATGCTTCTCTTTTAAAGGCCAACATTCAACGTCATAAAGCATGCAGGTCTCACCACCATTTTATAAAATTTTCCTTTCAGTTTTAGTAGTTTTCTATCACACAATAGACCTGAAACATTCCTTTACTTCAACCAACCAACTTAAATTCTACTAATAACATCACCATCTATATCACCATCACATTGAGCAATAGGCTCGAGAAATCTAACTCGTTCACACCTTTTAATAATTTAATCACCCAAAGTTATACTTTTGCCACTAAAGCTACTACTACTAAAATTACATTCCATGTATTCAGTTTTAGTTCTACTCAATATCAAATTATTATTTTTAGCTTCTCTTATATATATATATATAATCATTTAAAAGTCAACATAAAATAATAATAATATATTTTTTTTCATTCATGAATTTTCTTTTAAAATATAATGGAATTTATATATTTTATAATTTCCATGCTATCACCTTTCCATAAAAGATTGAAAGCTGAATTATCTTTTTGAACCACTTTAGAATAATTAATGCTTTTTCCTACATGTATTATAAAGGTTCATTCCCCCTTAAATTTCATCCTTCAAGAATATCAAAAGTAAAAAAAGATATGTTTATAGCACTAAGGTGTTATGAATGCATATATCAAACTTTAGGTGGCAAACATGTAATTCCATAACAATTGTGTGGCAAGCATGTAAATTTCCCTATAACATATAAATCAAAACAACAAAAACGAATAGATTACCAAAAACAGAGGCTGAAAATTTTATTCAGAAGGAATGAAAATGAAAAGGATAAGCTCTACAAGCTTCCCTCGGTTCAAACAAAATTGAGAATAGAACAAATAAAACTACAAGTACTTGTACCTTTCAGGTGCTATACTTAGACTTCTGGCAAAAAGTTGAAATAAATCATCAGCAACACAATTATTGTTCTTCGAACAATAGAGAAGTTGAAGCTCCCTTCCCTCATTCCTCTTCTGAATCTCCAACAGCAGATTTCCTCTGCACTGCTGCTCTCTGTTGTGTTGCTTCCTGTCTTGGTGATGCTACTAACATGCACACTGTAATTAATATATTTTAAATGAATTAATAGTTAACCCCCTTGAACTATTTAACATTGCGTCTTTTACATACATACCACACAAATGTTGTGCATTTACAGATCCCACATCTAAATTTTCAGGTTACATGCATAGCACTTAAATCTTTAATAACACATGCAAAATAGCACTATTACGAATTTTTAAAAGTGTAATACACCTTTTCATGCATAAAATTGAAACACAAGTGTGTTGTGTAAATATGAAAGTTAAGATGTGAGACATGTAAATACATCAGAATTGTGTGCTATGTATGTAAATGACATGCAAAGCACACAATTCTTAGGTATTTACGTATCTCACATTTAAATTTTCATGTTTACAAGCATAGCACTCAAATCATTAATAACACATAAAAAATAGCACTATTATCACTTTTTAAAACAGAAATATATCTTCCAATGCATAGATTTAAAACACCAAAGTGTTCTGTGTAAATATGAAAGTTAAGATGTGAGATATGTAAATACATAAGAATTGTTTGCTAAGTATTGAAATTTCCCTTAAACATTAACATTTTTTAAGTGAGTTGGCTCAGAAGCTGAGGAATGTGGTCAAAGCTAGCTCAAACTTGACTCGTTAGCTCATGAAGCTTAGCTCGTGAGCTATTTATAAGCCAGTTCATGAAATAGGCTCGACTCCAAAATACACTATTAATACCTCTACTTGTAGCAATAATCTTGGTAACAAAAAAAAAAAAAAAATGCAAGTGATTATCATAATGTTTAAAGAAAATCAGATGGCAATGAAATAATTCCACACCTTCCAGGAAAGATGCAGTCGCCATGACCTGAACCAAAAATCCCAGTATTTCGTTAGACATCACATTAATGAAACTAGATACACAAATCACGTTTGCAAACTTTAATGATTTAAACTAAGGAACATTTACAAGAATACCCCTCAATTCTTATGTATCTAGATATCTAACGGATAAACTTCATCTTTTACATGCATGCCACCTTATCTATGCACGAAAAGGTGTATTTCATTTTTTTTTTTAAGTTAAAATAATAAATTTGAGAGCTATAAATGTAAAAAAAGCAAAGTTTAAGAGTTAGATATGTAAATGCATAACAATTGGGTGTTACTTATTCGAATGCCCGCTTAAACATAACAACAAAAAAGGTGATGCTTTTTATATTAACAAGAAGGAGCTGCTCATTCAATGTTTGGTATAAAGTTATCTTCCAAACCGATAAATAATCACAATTTTATTGATATAAACTAATTAAGAAATAGCCATTCAAAAAAATATCGGTGAGTCACGAGAGATCATATAATACTTATCCAATGATTTCAAAACTTATCCCATAAATGTGAACTGAGCATACATGTCTGCATATAATATTTCCACAAAAAAAAAATAAAAGGCATTCACAGAGTTTGCGAAATTAAAGGGCATTTCATACAGAGCACACAATACTTACGCACTTTCATATCTCAAACCTAAACTTTCATATTCACACATATAGAACTCAAATCTTTAATATCACGTTAAATATAGCACTATTATCACTTTTTAAAAGTGAAATATACCTTTGATGCATAAGTTTAAAGCACCAAAGTGCTTTGTAAATATGAAAGTTCAGGAGTAAGATATGCAAATATATAAGACTTATGAGCTATGCATGTACATTTTCCTCAATTTAATGTCTTTCTTATGGAGTGTGGAATAGACAGATCCATAAGGTCGCAGTGATCCAAAATTTCAAGATAGAGGTGCTAATATGTAAAAAAAATACAGAAAGAATAATAAAACTAAAATGTGTTTCATCTATAAATACATAACAAATTTCAGTTAATTTGTAAATCATTATCAAATCAATGCACGTGTTGTATTATTAACGTTAACATATAATAACGTTAATAGAGAAGCATTTGAGCATCTTAAAATGGATACTTCATTTTTTAAGACTATTAATGGCCCATGCAAGTTCATTACCATAACTGCTAGGAGAAGGAAAAAGAGACGGAAGAGTTTCATACATACCACTCAGTTACTATTTATTTACATATCTAATACCTATACTTCAATTTTTACATAAATACCACCTTACCCATACATAGAAAGTTGTATTTTAATTTTTGAAAGTTAAAATCGTAGTATTCTTTATGTGATATGAAAGATTTGGGTGGTATAAATGTACATAAGCAAAGTTTAGGTGTTAGAATGTAAATACATAGGAATTGATTCCCCAAAAGAGATAGAATTGGTTCTGATCGGAATCCATAATTGGGAGAAAGAAACTTATGTGTAGAAAATATCTGATATGCCCAGTGGTTTTTAGTGGAGATAAAGTGGAGAGCAGTAGAGATATGAGATGATCAATGAATTGGGGAATGGTTTAGGAAAACCATTTCTGAGTATTTAATATTTAAATTTAAATCAAAATTATATAATTATTGAGAATTATAGAGATTTTTTGGGGGTGTAGTTTTGACCCTTTAGTATTCTACAAGCAGTCCTAAATAACATGCAAAAAGCTTTCAAGCAAGAAACCATATTGAATCATCACAAAAAGAAAAAAAAGTAGTTTTTACATACATACCACCAAATTTTCATGCATAGGCAAGTTGCCATATATGTAAAAATTGAAGTTTACGTGTTTTGACATGTATATGCATAAGTATTCAAAGATGTGCATGTAAATCTTTCCAAAGAAAAAATAACCTTCATGCAATTCACAAAGGTTAATGACAGAATTTGCCAACTACTTTTTCCATTCAGGTGTAATTGGTCATGTTTAGTTCAGTGTTTGAGGAAAGTCGTGTCTAGGATTCGTGTTCTACTGTTCTAATAGTTGCATTGGTTGCGTAAAAAATCGAACATCGCAGCAGAACAATTTCACTCCAAACATTTCATTATCGGCTCGAAATGACACCATAGGGACAAGCATGGTAAAGAAAAGGAGCAGCAGAAGAGTCAATACTAATAGTTTATAAATAAAAATTAACTCATTAAGTTTAAAATTAAATTACATTCAATTGGAAGGTTCAGAAAAAAATGTAGCAATCCCCCACCATCCCTCTCTTGAAGGAAGGGAGGGCTATAAAAGAACAATTCCTCATTGTGTGTATTGCCCAAATGTTGAATTAAATTCACCAGGAGTAAAAAAGAAAAGTTTTTCATGCAAACAAAAGCAGCAATTATAAAACATCACGACAATATTCCTTTGTATTTACATATTTAACTTCTAAACTTTGCTTTTTTTTTAGCATTTATACCACTTAAAGATTTCATACCACATTCAAAATACCATTATTTTAACTTTTAAAAAGTAAAATACACCTTTTCATGCCTAGGTGAGGTGGTACACATGTAAAAATTGAAGTTTAGGTGGTAGATATATAAATGTATTGGAATTATCTTCCTAAGAAAATAATATTTGACCGTAAAAGAAAGACTCAATTAAGCTCATGTCAGAAGAAATATTTTATCATACAATAACATAGCAAACAAAAGAATCACATGGTTAAAAATGATATTGTTCCTATGGACTTTCAAAATTTCTAGGTGCGATGTCTTAAAAGTTTAAGTCTTGGATGATTTAACAGATTGTTGATATCCAACCAGAGGAGATGCTTCATTGCAAATCAACAAAGATTTAAGCTTAATCTTAGCAAACAATTTGTTGGGCCACATAAATCATGCTACATTTTAAAATCCCAACTTCCTCCTATATCAAGTTCAATCATACTACAAAAATCATAAGAGTAATGCTAATGCTCATGCTAATGACAGCAATATTTCACATAAAAAAGATCATTCGGATCCTAACCATATTAATCACACCTTTCGATACCAAAAGAAAAAATAAAAAGAGAACTTCATGAGCAATTCACAAGCACCAAGCACTATAGGTCAGAGAACTCACTTGGATCCGTCGTAGTCACCATGGCAGCCCCCTGGAAGTAACAAGAGCCCATGATCTTCCCTTCACTTTGATAATAACTATCAAAAGCATAGGAAGCATGTTGCCTCACATTATTCGGATCATAACATCCCTCCCCCGGCTGAATCTCCGAGCAATTCGCCCTCCCCGGCCCGCACGCCCAATCCAACGCCGCCTGCAACGCCTTCGTATCCGTCCCCTCCGCTGCCACACAGAATGTCCTGTTCGTAGAATCATTAGCCAAAAACCCCCCACTCCCCACCACATTCAGCAGATACACAGGCGTCCCATTGCCGTAGAAAAGCCCCCAATGCTTCTCCGACTCCAGCCCTACTCTCTCATCTTCATTGAACAGCTCGTAGATGTAGACTGATGCCGTCTGTTCCGGCACCAGAGGTGTTCCAGCACGGTCGACAACCACATGCTTGATCAAATTGGAGTTGTAGGTGTCGGCATTGTCTTTGGTCGCGAAAGGCTCGGTTTTTGAATCGCCGGCTGAAGGCCAGCCAGTTTCAGTAACAAGAATAGGAATGTGCGAGAAGTTTAGACTGCGAAGAGCGAAGCGAGCGGCGTCGAGCATGGCGTCAAAAAGGTTGGTGTAGTGGAGGAGGGTGTTGGGGTCGATTTCTTCTTTGGAAGGCGGGAGTGGTTTGAACAGGGCTGAGTCAAGAGGAATAACGCCGCGGGAGCGCATGAAGGAGTAGTAAGGGTAAAGGTTGAGCATGAAAGGGGAGTTGGTGGAGGACAGGAGGGTGAGGAGAGGGAGAAGGAAATTGGGGGTTAGGGTTTGGTTGAAGAAAGCTTGGGAAGGGGGAAATGGGTTGAGGATGATGGAGAAAGGTAGGGGAGTGGAGATCGGGATGTGGGATTGGAGACCGGAGAGAGCATAACATATGGATCGAAGGGCGGGGAGGAGGATAGAGGTGGAAATGGAAGCGGAGAAGTCGTCGCCGACAGCGATGGCGGAGATGGAGGTGATGAAGGGGAGGATGAAGCGAGAGACCCATGAAGAGGCGGAGGAAGGGGATGAAGCGAAGGCGAGGAGGAGGGAATTGGGAATGGTGATGAGGATGCGAACACCGGTGGAGTTTAGGGCGGCGAGGAGGGGAAGTGAAGGGTTTGCTAGGCGGACGTGGGTGATGCGCTGGGAGAGAAGAAAGCGGGCGAGGTCGGCAGGAGGTAGGAGAGCAGATACTTCGTCGCCAATCACCACGCCAACAAAAGGGGGTTCGCCACCACCACCGGCGCTAGTACCATTATTGTCGCCGGAGTTCGCCGCTGCGGAGAGGGAGAGTGAAGAGTGAGAGGAGCAAGAAGAGAGTGGAGGAAGAAGAAGGAGGAGTTTAGCTTACCGGGAGTGAGAAGAGGGAAGAAAAGGATGAAGAGGAGAATGGAGAGAGTGGAGGCCATGGAGAGGAGCTCTGAAACCGTGAGGTTGGTGAGTTGGTTGGTGGTGGCATTCTTTTACGCCTATCAGATGTTTGTTGAAATGGGTGTGAGATTTGGCTGGGAGACTTGTGAGAGAGAGAGAGGCAGCGCGAAATAAAATAATAGAGGTTGCAGAGGAACGGGACAAATGAGTGGGGAGAGCTCAAGTGTTCCGATCTATAAATCAATAATCATTTATTTGATCTTTACTAATATAAGATTTACATATATGCCCTTCAATTCTTCTGTATTTACATATCTAACCCCAGACCTCAATTTATATATA